CAATGTTAACATTATCAAAAAAAAAACATATACTGATGAAGTAAGGTGCACCTTAAAAATCCTACAGATGCAAATGTCCAACATTGCAAAACCATCCAATTGATCATCTCGACCTCGAGATGTATGGACATGAAGAAAAATAACAATTTCAAGCCCAAAACATAGTACATCTAGTAACAAGTTATATGGACCATCCGTTTTCCAGATTTTCTAAATGTTAGTTGTTCTGCTCGATTTGTATTTTAAAGAAAACCATTTATATACGATTACAATCTTAAAATATAGAATTAAAGACGCACCTCAAAAATCCATGTTGATCGATTCACAATATTGTCCACCTATGAACTGTACATTTGATGCTATGGAACCTGGAATCCAAAAAATCGGAAGCGAGATTCCTAACATTAAAAAATTGGGTTCCACGAAGATTCAGTGACCAGACACCGAATTGAGATTTCGAAGTGGAATCCCCACCCAAGGTGGAAGATTCCCATGACTATAGGTTGGTCGTCGCCTCTCACTACCTCCGTCCCTCTCTCTTGACAATTGTGATGCCCCTCTGCTCTCTCATCCTCTTCAAGCATATGAGACTGTGTTTCCTCTTCCTAAGACCTGACCACCTCCCAAAACCAGTGAGTTCCTCGTGCCTGCAACCTCCCTAAAGCTTCTAGAAAGCCAGTTGTTTTCAAAAAGCAATCCTATAGGCCTAAAATGAAAAGGGTACCTTCCCTCTCTGCTTATAAAGGAATAATTTCCTCCATAAATACCCTATGTAAGAGAACTATAGAAGTTGAGGAAAGCATATAAGCCCCTGAAGAAAAGAGTATCAAACAATTCGAAAGATATAGGAGGTCGGCATCCAATCACGCACCTCATCCTGAGGACTGAAAAGGTTCAAAGGGTTATTGGGTTAATGGTTTTCACAATGGGTCCCTTTCTCTGAAAGAGAAGAACGAACATACCCCACTGTAACCCCATATGTCGCCCAACTTGTTACTATGAAACAAAAACACAAAATCAAGCAACCCTTACAAGATGAACAATTGCAAGTATGCCAGCTGCTATAGGTGGCATTTCTTCCACAGACATAGGGTGGTTTAGTAGCCAATGGGAAGAAGAAGAGGTAGGAAAGAAAGAAGAGTGGGAGGACCATATGGAAAGGTTTTTTGCGATGAAAGTTATTCTTCTCACACTTCTGATTTAGAGTTGATGGGTAGGATGCAAAGGAGGCGGCGAGAGAGAAAGCAAAGACTAAGGCTAATATCTCAATGAGTGGTGCTTTGCAGGTTGCATTCACCAAACGCTATGGTTAGTGAGGAGGTGAGGGTTGAGAACCCTTGGGAAGAGGTGTAGCAATGGTGAAAGGGTTGAAGGACCCACTCTGCTATTGTCCAGGTTTTTGGTGCTGAATATCTAACGCACCTATTGAGCTACTTTCGTTATCTAAACTCCTTTTAACAACAATATGCTATTGTCCAAGTTTTTGGAGAGGTTTGCCAGGCTCTAATCCTTTAAAATTCTCTTTGCAAACCATGTCAAGGAAAAAGTCACCAAAATATGACCCATTGACCCCAACCAGTGTTCGCAAAATCGAACCGGAATGGTTAACCGGACATGGGCCTAGAAGCGGTTTAACCAGCCTAACCGGTAAACCGGCCGATTCAACCGATCTAACCAGGCAAGTCTCGAGTGGTCAAAAAAGTGTT